GTGTGCAGAAATGGCCAGCGGCCGCGATGTGAGTTCCGCCACTGGGACCTCAATTGGAGCTCCCTATGGAACCACGAAGCGTGTGAGGGGTGTGCCGAAATGGTCCGAGGCCGCCATGCGAGTTCCGCCACTGGGACCGTGGGTGGAGCTCCCCATGGGGCCACGACACGTGTCAGGGGTGTGCAGACATGGCCCGAGGCCGCCATGCGAGCTCCGCCGCTGGGACCTTGGGTGGAGCTCCCTCTGGGGACACGAAGCGCGTGGGGGGTGTGCGGGGCCGCCATGCGGGTTCCGCCACTGGGACCTTAGGTGGAGTTCCCTATGGTGCCACGAAACGTGCGAAGGGTGTGCCGAAATGGCTAGCGGCCGCCATGCGAGTTCCGCCACTGGGACCTCAGTTGGAGCTCCCTATGGAACCACGAAACGTGTGAGGGGTGTGCCGAAATGGCCCGAGGCCGCCATGCGAGTTCCGCCACTGGGGCCTTAGCTGGGGCTCCCTATGGGGCCACGAAACAAGAGAGAGGCATGCGGAGGGCAGAGGCAAGGAGGAGGAGGAGGAGGAGGAGAGGAGGAAGGAGAAAGGAGGAGACGCGCCGCACCGTCTCTTCAAAAGGGGGACCCAACACCACAGGATGGTTGGGAATCATGATGCTTTCAGGGGACACAGCTGCGTGAACTTTCTTTAATATATATATATATATATATATCAACCAGGGAGAAAAAAAAAAAAAAAAAAAAAAAAAAAAAAAAAAAAAAAAAAAAAAAAAAAAAAAAAAAAAAAAAAAAAAAAAAAAAAAAAAAAAAAAAACACTGATTTGCGAGCAGAGGAGCCAATGGAGGAGTCCCGACTGGCAAACACAAAAAGACAAACAAACAAAAACAACAACAACAACAACAAAAAACTGTGCATGCTCAAGCCCGCGCTGACTGGGTCACCGTTGATCCACCCCCCTCCATGGCGGGGGAAGGGCACAGGACAGAGAGGCATCAGCACGGGCTCGAACGTCGCTGACAGGGGCGGACTCTGGCGGGGCGCCTCCAGCGCCGCTGGCCTCACTGGCCTCAGGCGCGCCTGCAGCTGCAGCGGCTGGCGCAGCGGCTTGGCCAACGGCCGCCACAGCGGCGGCACCTGCAGCAGCTCCACCATCTTCCCCTGTGCGATGTTTCTTGGCTTCTGCTTGTCGTGCCCGATATTCGCCTGTTTTGCCTGCTCCGAAACATGTTCGAACAGCTGCGTCGCGAGCTCTTGGAATCCACGGGAGCGGGTCTCCGTGCGCTTCGCGACTTCGCCCCTGTCCTCGGGCGAAAGCCCAAAGTCACCCGAGCCGTCCAGCTCCTCCGAGAAGTCGACCTCGAACGTTGAGGACATGTCGAAGGAGCCGTCCAGGAGCTGACCGAGTTTGATCTGTTGCGCGGCTGCAGCTTGAGATTCCTGAGGGGCCGATTCCGACTTGCGCGCGCGAAAAAAAATCCAGCTACTCTCGAATTGCCGTGACCTGCTTCTCGAATGCCAGGGTCTCTTCACGCCAGCGACAGAGCTTCGCCAACTCTGAGTCCAGTTTTTCTCCAGCCTCCGAACTGCGGCAAGATGCTGCTAAACATGATGAATGTTGACCTCTGGCACGCGCGCTGCGTGACCCAGGTGCTTCGCAATGTCGGCGTAATACGCGCCCCCTCGCGTGTCCCCCCCCAATTGAAGGAGAGTGCGGACAACTGTTGCGCCTCGGAGATAAACAACGATGGGACTGGTCCTGCGGGAAGTGGCGGGGTGCCTCCTCCAGCCTGCTCGTGTCCTCCCGAACCTGGAGCGTGGTCGTGCTAGAACTCTGGTCCGAATTCGGTACCCTTGCCCTTGCCCTTATCACCACGACCCTTGCCTGACTCCCCCATGCCTTGCCCCATGTAGCCGAGAGATGGATGCTGCCACTGCCCTGGGGGAGCTGGGAACGCCCACTGACCACTGACAGCGCGACCAGAAGAATGATCAAGCCGAGGAAGAATGGCGGAGCAATTCTTGAAGCAAATGGCTTTGTAGCGATTATGTTTACACCCGCAGGCTGGGCATGCCATTGCCGTCGCCTGCTGATTGCCCCTTCTCTTCCCGCTTTTCGTTTTCCACTCTCCTGCGGCCTCTGACGTCCCATGATCAGGCTTGACCCAGGGCGCATAAGACAAAGCATGAGGTGGAGGCACCATTGCGGTCAGGAGGAAGTAGCAGAAAAAGGTACAGCTCCGTACTGGAAACGTAGTTGGAGTATGTGCCAGGCGGGCAAACGCCTGGGAAAGCTGCGGGGGGCGCGAAATCCCCCTTGCCAAAAAGCCGAGACCTGAGCGAAGCACTACGGATTTGAGCCAAAATGGCTACGGACGCAGGCATCACTCATCTGGAGACGCCGCAATCTTCACTTCAAGGAGGAAGAAAAGTGGAGGGGAATGTGTGGCTCAGGCCAGCTTCATACGCCCCCCGGATCACAAGCCCAACCAACCGACAGGCCAGGGCGTCAGCATGATCTGGTCTCTGGTTCTTCCGCTCTTTTCGAGCTCTTCATTGACTTGGGGTAGTTGGCAACTCATGCAGAAAACCTCCTGGTCCCCCTCGTCTCCCTCGCAAATAGGGAAGGAACACTGAGCAGATGGGGTCGGAGGATTGCACCGCATCGCCGCTGCATCGCCAATGCTCCGGCGATGGCGGGACAAAGAAAATCGTACTCTGGATCGCACCACACATCCGCGATCCATCGGCGATGCGGCGAGATCCTCCGACCCCATCTACTCTGGTCCCACTGGGGATGCCTAAACTCCTACTCCTCCTTCTCCTCCTCCCCCTCCTCCTCCTCCTGCTCCTCCTCCTCGTCCTCCTCCTCCTCCTCCTCCCCCTCCTGCTCCTCATCCTCCCCTCCTCCTCCGCCTGCTTCATTCATTCACTCGTGCATCGAGGGCGCGCCAAAGGAAGCCCGAGCTAAAGAACCAAACAGGAGGCAAGAGGAAGAAGAGCAAAGCGGGCACACTCGCACAGCAGAGACACAGGGGAGACCCCACACCACTGAAGATACCCCGAGCCACCAAACCTGCCACCCGGCGAGGGACGGCCAGAGAGAGCGCGCGCGCGCGCGCGCCTCTCGGAGCGCGCCTCGAAGGGCCCTCGGAGGGCACTCGGGACGCGCACGACGAGGGCCCTCTCAGACGGCCCTCGGAGGCCTTCTCGGAGGCCCTCTCGGGACCTAGCCGTGGCACGGGGAAGCCCTGGACTGGCCTGGCCTGTCACAGAACTGACCCTCGCGACGAGAGCCTGGAGGCGCACCGCTCCTCCTCCTCCTCCTCCTCCTCCTCCTCCTCCTCCTCCTCCTCCTCCTTCTCCTCCTCCTCCTCCTCCTCCGCCTCCTCCTCCTCCTCCATTATTTTTTCCTTGCGAATAACTTCTCCTTGTCGCACCGCCGGCCGTGTTGTAGGGCGGACCGGGCGTTTCGCGTGAGACGTCCTCACCACTTATAACCCTGAAGCCCAAAAATTGGCAACGGTTTCACAGGTGGGGGGCGGGTGGTTTTCAAAATGTGGCTCTCGCCTGAGCGCCGCGCACATTAAGTTTAGAAGTTGCAGGACCTTCACGGATTGAGGGCGGCTCGTTTCCAAAATGTGGTTCTCGCCCTAGCGCCGCGCAAAGTCGTTGTCAACATTTACAGGAGCTTCACGAAATGAGGGCGGCCCCTTTTCAAAATGTAATTTTCGCCCTAGCGCCGCGCCTACTCCTTCTCAAGATTTGCAAGGATATCACAAATTCCCATGGTCAAGTCACCACAACTTGCGTATTGACAAGATTCAGGAGTACGGGGGCGCAACAGTTGCGTTGATTCGCGGTGCTGGAATCCCAGGAATGGCCTTCTGGCACGATTCAGGACCGTCAAGACGCAACTGTCAGGCTCATCCGTGGCATTGAAATCTGGAGAACAATGTTTCAGCATGCCTCAGGGTCCTCAACCGGATGCTTTCCAACGAGGCAGTTCCCTCAGTGGGAATGAACCCCTGTAGGGGCCTATGAAGAGGGAGTTTGGAGAGAGGGTTTATGTCGACATCGTTGATGACTCTTGGGTTTACACTGGTTCTCCTCCTCCTCCTCCTCCTCTTCCTCCTCTTTCTCCTCCTCCTCCTCCTTTTCCTCCTCCTCCTCCTCCTCCTCCTCCTCCTCTTTCTCCTCCTCTTCCTCCTCCTCCTCCTCCTCCTCCTCCTCCTCCTCCTCCTCGTCCTCCTCACCTTCTAGATAACTCGCCCTTTGTCGCACCCCGATGCGTGTCGGCAGGGCGCACTGGTCGAGTCGCCTGGGACTTTCTCCCCACTTACGATCCTGAAGCCGATGCAAGAGCTTCACGGATGGAGGGCGGGTCGTTTTCAAAATGTGGCTCTCGCACATTCGTCGTGCGGAAATGCAAGAGCTTCGCGGATGGAGGGCGGGCCATTGTCAAAATGCGGCTCTCGCCTAAGCGCCACGCACATTCGTCTTAAACAATGGCAAGAGCTTCGCGGATGGAAGGCGGGCCGTTTTCATAATGTGGTTCTCGCCTTAGCGCCGTGTACATTTTGAAAGTTTGCAAGAGAACGTGACCCGCCATGCATGGTATTTTGGCACGATGTTGGACTGCCAGGGCGCGACAGTCACGTTGTCCCGCTGCGTTGACGCCCCAGGAATAACATTATGGCGCGATTCGAGATCGTCAGGACTCAACAGGGATGATGATTCGCGGCGTTGAAGTCTCAGGAATGGTGTTTTGGCACGAGTCTAATTTTCAGACGGTTGTCTTCCAGCGGGGCATCTCCATCAGCGAAAATACATTATTGTAGGGACCTATGGAGAGGAAACTTGGAGTGAGGGTTTGTTGCAACATCGTCGATCGGCCTCGGGTTTGCATTGGTCCTCCTCCTCCTCCTGAATATCCTCCTGCTCCTCATCCTTCTACTCCTCCTCCTGAGGACCAAAAGCAGAGGGCCAGAAGAAAAGGAACTGTTTTGGGAACTCTTTGCGCGCGGGCCTCTGTCCTACAGAATCGGGCCCCCCCAGGGTGGCGCACCCTGCCACTTCCGCCACCTGGGAGCCTAGGGCTCTGCGGACCCCGCCGACGCGCAGACCTCATCCCTCCGACGACCTGGCCTTCTGGAGCGCCTGCAGGACGCTCAGGGCGCAGACGAGCGCCCGGAGGGCGAGGTCGACCTCGCGCCACGCGCCTGCCTCCAGGTCGTCCGCGATCCTCTGCTCGAGGGTGGTCTCGAGCTTCGTCAAGATGGGGTCGACGATGCCCTTTAGCTCCTTCTGCTTGCCCTCGAGTGTAACATTCCCCTCGGGCTGGTCCTTTTTTCCACCCAGCCGAGGGTATGACCGAGCGCCTTCCCGATATTCTCCTTGTCGCCGTCCTCGAAGTTGTCCTTGAACTCCGCCTCCAGGAGGGTGTTGTGCAGGTGGAGCAGTAGTTGAGGAGGCCGTGAAGCGCATTGGTTCTCTCGTCGGCCTGCTTCGCCAACTCGTCGGCCTGCTTCGACTCCTTCATGGCCATATCCTCAGCGAGCTGCACCGTGCGCTCGGCCTGCTGCATCGCCTCCTCTGCTCTTATGGACATCTCCTCTGCCTTCATGGCCATCTGCTCGGCCTGCTGCAGCTTCTCATTGGCCTTCAGGCCCGCCTCCAGAACTTGCTTCGACACCACGTTGGCCTGCTCCGCCTTCTTCTCGACCTGCAGGTCGGCATCGGCGATCACCTGGCCCGCCGCCGCGTCAAGGCCAGCGTGCGCCTGGTGAGCGGCCGCATTCTGGTGCTTGGAGGCACGCCCTAGCCTGCCCGCCACGGCCTGGCAGGGGGCCCCCAGGCTGCGCAGGACCTCCTTTGCGTCCTTGACGGTGCGCGCGACCCCCCGTCATGTCGCTAATCATGTTGACCACCGCCTGGACCTCGTCCACCGACCTGGACTTGCACCTGACCTCGGCAGCCCCCATCGCCGCCGAGCCCTGCGCTGCCCCGCGGACGGCCGCGGCCACGAGCGTCGCGAGCCCCTTGCCCGAGATGCTCATGCCAATCGCCGCCGCCGTGGCGCCGAACGCGGCCGCCGCCGCAGGGTGATTAGCCCGCCAGCGCACCCGCCAGCGCCGACGCCATCGCTCGCCTCACGCGAGGCGCACCGCCCGAGGACAGCAGGCCGCGGCCAAGCTCAGCCCAATGGCTTGAACCACAATATGTAGTTTGAGCCAAAATGGCTACGGAGGCCAGAAGAAAAGGAGGAGGAGGAGGACGAGGAGGAGGAGCTGGAGCCACAGGAAATGGAGGACGAGGAGTAAGCGAGGAGTGGAAGGAGGAGAAGCAGCAGCAGCAGCAGGAGACGAGCAGGGAGAGGAGGCAGAGGGAAAGAGGGGGGGAGGAGGAGCAGGACAAAAAAGTGAAAAGGAGGACCAGGAGCCAAGAGGAGCAGGGAGGAGCATGAGCAAGGAGGAGCATGGAGGGTAAGGAGCAAGGAGGAGGAGGCGGAGGAGGAGGAGGAGGAGGAGGAGAAGGGGAGAGGACCAGGAGGAGCAAGGATGGACGGGGTGGGATGTTGCTCGCGACCGACCGCCAGGGAAGCCGTCCCGCCCGCCGCCGTAGCACCCAGCGGCAAGGGCACCTGCCGGCCGCGAGTGTGCCGGGACCCGGAGTGGGAGGGGAAAGGGTCGACAGGAGCGGGGGGAGCCTGAGCAGCAGGAGCAAGCAGGAGCAGGAGCAGGCAGCAGGAGCAGGAGCAAGGGCAGAAGGAGGAGCAGAAGGAGGCAAGAGGAAGGAGGAGAAGGAGGAGCAGGAACACTAGGAGCATGAGGAGCCCTCGGCCCTTGGAGGTGAGGCAGAGACAGGCGACCAGGCCAGGTGGCGACGCCGGCGGCCAGGCCACGCAGATGAGGCGGAAGGGAGGAAGGATCGCGGTTTCCGCCGCGGTCCCTGGCACGCGTAGTCTATTTAGCCCCGGCTGGCGCACCCCCTCTCCCCTAGGGGCGGCCGCCGCAAAGAGGTGAATCGATCCGGGGGTGTGAGGGGTCGCGCCGGCTCTTGATCAAACTGTTCGGGCGGACACGAGTCCGCAAAGCAGGAGCTGCAGGAGCAGGAGGAGCACGCGGAGGAAGCAGGAGGAGGCAGAAGGAGGCAGGAGGAGCAGGAACGCGCTGCCACCTGCATTGGCGAATCTGACGTACTCAGCGCGACTGGAGCACGATTAACACTAGATGCGTTTGGGACCCTTGGGCACCTGGGGCACCTGGCGCACCTGGTGCACGTAGCGCACATGTTACGCGCGGCGCACCTCTCGAGCGTCGCGCCCCTGGTGTCTGTGATGGCTCCAAAATTGGTTGCCCATCCGACGGCGACCTCTGCCAATGCTGAATCACGGATTTTGCGTAAGCACGGGTGGGCGAGACAGCTTATGGCGCTCACGTTTGGGACTGGATCTGGTGCAATAGATGTTGCGTCTTCTATGTGGTGCAACATATGTTGTGCAACTCGCGTGGTGCACTTCGCGTGGTGCCATCTAAGCTGTTCAATCCCACCAGCCCTCTGGGCGTCGGTGGTTTAGGGCGTTTCCTCTTCCACCCCTCCTTCTTCCCCTTCGGGGAGGGGTTTACCCCTCCCCCTACCCCCTCCCCATGGACCTGGACAGGGGGTCTCGCGAGGTGTCAGGGCGTCCAAGACGGCCAGGGGGTCTCGCGAGGTGTCAGGGCGTCCAAAACGGCCTCGGCGAGGAAGCCAAAATCATTGATGTTGCTAGGGTTTGGCCCCATTCTGGCCTTCTGGGAGGGCGACTGTAATCCGCAACCCCCCCTCATTTGATCGATCTCACCCAAGATGGCCCAAAGATGGCCCAAGAGACCCCCCAGAGACAGTCAAGATGCTCCAGGAGGCCTCGGCGACCCAACCATTGATTGCACGAAGGTTTTAGCCACATGTTGGCCTCTTGGGGGGCGGCACTGATTAAGATGACTCCAAGAACGCCTGGGAGAGCCCCAGATGACCTCCAAGGTGGCTCAAGATATCCCAAGATGTCTCATAATGGTTTCCTCTGTGTGCTGCCCACTTCCCTGATCGAGGCAAGTCTTCTGGGCATCGTTGCTGGATGGGCTGGTGGGAATTCGCGAAGCGCCAACCAGTAGTTTGTACCCATGCTTTGACACATCCCACGCTCTTGTTTACATCCCACCCACCCACCCGCCACTTGGTTTGCAAAACCCATGCGGTGGCGATTGCGATGCATGCTTGGCGTTGGTTGGTGCATCTCTGCGGCCGCGCCAGCCCGCGCATGCGCGCGCAGCGGCCAGCCAGTTTGGCGCCACCGACGCGGCCGCGGTGGTGATGACCGCTGGGCGCATCCCAGCTGGCACTTCACTGCGAGTCGGCGACTTGGGCGGGCGCGGTATCATGGCAAAGCCGACTACGGTAGACGCGATGATGATACTAGCGATGCCGGTGACGATGTTCGCACCGACGAAAGCAGGGCCAGTGCGGGCGCCGATGCTGATCACGCCGACGACGATGACGGCGTCCTCGCGTCGGCGATGCAGGTTTTGGAAAGAGTTCGACATGCGCGCGCGGCCGACGCGCGATTGGCCCACATGGCTCTATTTGAATCGGACCGTGCCCCCCCCCCGCAGCACGCGCGCAAGGGCGCGCGAATGATGTCGGCATGCGGCGCCAAAGGCCCGTTTGGCAGAACCCCATGAAGATGTTGCACAACTTATGGTTTGCTCAAGAATTCGCAAGAGCGCGCGGGCAAGTTGCTTTGAAAACTGATGCTGCGAAGCCTTGTGCTTTGGGCGTGCTAAGGACACTCGGTCTTGAAATCGTTCCGAAGCCAGAGGTTTTTCAAGGAATTCGGCATGCCCGCGCGACAACGCGCGCGCTCACTTCGTCTCATTCGTTGCAAAGGATTCTCGCGACGGCACGCGCGCAAGGGCATCCGCAGGATTTCGACACGCGCGCGCGAAGGCCGTTTGTTAGGATTTGTTTTGAAAATGTTGAAAGCCCATGGTATTCTTAAGAAGTCGCAAAAAAGCGCGCACGCTTGTGCTGAAAATCAATGTTGCGAAACCATGTATCCTTCAAATGTTTCTTGGACACTCGATTTCGAAATCCTTCCGAAACCAACTGTGTTTGAAGGAATTCGGCATGCGCGCGCGACGACGCGCGCGTGCGCACTTCGTCTCATTTCGCGCAAGAGGTTCTCCAAAACTGATGGTTGTGGATAAACAAGCGCGCACATATTGTTTTTTTGCAGAGGATGGCGGGGGGGCGATACCGGCTCGGCCCGGATGGTACGAGTTCATGTTTCGTATGGACGATGGGGCAGAATGCTATATAAATTACAAGACGAAAAGGTGGACCGATAAACCTGGGGGGTAGAGTGTATCTCTCTCTTCTTGGAACAGAGAATCTGCGTTGTGCACTCGATGTAGCGCAATTTTACTGGTGCTGTCTATGTGGTACAATTAATAAGAAGCCTTGGCAATGTCAACTCCACTGCTCGCGCAATCAATCCACCCACCCGCCCGGAACTTGGCTTGCAAAACCCATGCGGCGGCGATTGCGATGAGTGCTCGGTACTGGCTGGTGCATCTCTGCGGCCGCGCTAGCCCACGCACGCTCGCGCGCACACTGGCAAGCTAGTGCGGCGCGACTGACGCGGTGGCGTTGACCGCTGGGCACTTCCCTGCGCGTCTCGCAGGCCGCGCTGGCGCGAGGGCACTTCAATGCGAGTTGGCGACTTGGGCGCGCGGTATCATGGCGACCCCGACAAGGATAGACACGATGATGATAGTAGCGCTGATGCGAAGATGATAACGATGACGACGGGATGGTCAACAACAGCGCCGATGCTGATCACGCCGACGACAATGATGTTGCCCACGCGTCGGCGATGAAGGCTTGGAATCATTTCGTCACGCGCGCGCGGCCGACGCGCGCGAGTGGCCCGCATGGTGATCTTTGCCGAGGATCGCGCCCCCCCGCCCCCCAGCACGCGTGCAAGGGCGCACGAATGATTTCGACATGCGCGCGCGAGACGCCCGTTTGGTCGCAAGCGCTGAAAACTTTACAGAGCGATGGCTTCCTGAAGACTTCGTTACAGCGCGCGCACAGACGTTTGTTCTCGAGAACTGACGTTGCAAAACCATGTGTTTGTTTTATGTGTGTTCGGGACATTCGGTTTTATTCCACGCGAAACCTCCAGCTGTTTGAAAGATTTCGGCATGCACACGCAACGCGTGCGTTTCGTACCATTTGTCGTAAGGGGCTCGTGGAAACGGACGACTTGTTCCCACCCCTGCCTTGGTTGGGCCCTCGTTTTGAATAGAATAGTGGGGTGCCGTCTCCCTTTTCCATCTCTTCCCGGCCCCCCCCGCTCTCATCCTGGCTCTCTCCCGTCGCATCCCTCTTGGGGGCTGCGAAGCGTGAAGCTGGCGCCACTTTCGAGGACTACCTGGGGGGCCGACACAGCGGGGCCCCATGCAGATCCCAAAAAGACCTCGCCATCCCTGAGAGGACTGCGAAGTGTGAGAGTGGCGCCACCTTCGACGGCTGCCAGGGCAGCCAGCACAGTGGGGCCCCACGCAGATCACAAAAAGACCTCGCCATCCCTGGGGGGGCTGCGACGTGTGAAACTGTGGCAGTTTCGAAGGCTGGCGGCGCGCCTGCGCGTCTGGCGCTCGCACTTAGGCGCAGGGAGGAAGCGGAGAGGCTGACGGGCGAGCTAGACCTGGACCGCTCCTTACACAAGTACCGGGAGCTGAATTTTCCGAGGCGACGCTGCAACGCGGAGCGCTGACCGGGCAGGAGGCGGGCATGTCGGCATGGAAAAACGCGACACTTCGTTGTCTGGTTGCGTCTCCGCCGATGTAGCCTCAGAATGTCCATGTTCCATCATCCCGCTGCTTCTGCCGAGGTGATTGTTCTTCTACCCGATGTTTTCCTTTTGCTTCTCCTTCCAAGCAGAGTGCCTCCTGGCCTTTTGCACCTCTGCTTTGCGAGCCGTCCATGCACACCTCGCGCGACATCGACTTCCGCCGTGCACCGTCTCCTGCAGTGTAGCTGTCACACTATTGCCGGCACGCCTTGCATCATTCCCCGGTGCCGATGGGTTGGGCACGTCGCAGGGTAATAATAATAAACGAGCGCGCGCGCACAATGCTTGTTGCACAGGATTGCGAAGGGGGGCTCGATACCAGCCGGGCTGCGACGGCGCGACCTCATATTTAGGGCGGGCAAGGGGTATGGAAATACACGTAGGTATGCACGCACGTAACGCGACGAAACCAGCAACGGGCAACCCACGGAGGAAGCGAATCTTAATTCATCCCTAGCAAGGAGACTCTATACTGTACTGTGCAAGCTGTGTGGCGCAATATTAGTGCAATGTATGTGGTGCACTAGAAAGAGAACACTCGATGTTGGGCAACATGTGTTGGGCAATCCATGCGGTGCACTCGATACGGTTTAACTCTACGTTGTGCAATCTATGTGGCGCAGTCTAAATGGTGCCATCCATATGGTGCATCTCACCAATGCGCGCAATGAGTAGTTGTCAACTCAACTGCTCCTACAATCATCCCACCCACCCACGCGCAACATGGTTTGCGACACCCAGGCGAC